GATGTTGGATGAGATGGGTCTCTTCCAGGGACAGCAATATCCAGAGAGGGACCCAGCTGGCATGTCCCATCCTTCCAGCCCCTGCAGGGGAGGGAGATCAAGGGAGAGTCAGGGGGTGCACTCTAAGTGCCAACTAAAGACCAGCACTTAATTGAACTAACCTGAACTTTTTTCTCTGAATTAGATGATCATGAAATGTGGAGACATATCAGGTTCTCCTTAAAGTGACCCTACAACTGATTCAACATAAGACACAATCATTAAAAACTCTCCTACAGTAAACAACCCGGAAATCAAGCTACAGGTGAACAGGTCAACAAACTGGGGTGTGTTTACATAGTGAGCCACTACTCAAGGCTAGAAATGAATGAACCCAGAACACACGCTACCTCACGGATGAACCTCCAAATAATTATCCGAGTGAAAGAAGCCAGACAAAGGAAAGTGCACACTGTATGATTCCATTTATGTAAACTTCTGGGAAACAAAAACCTAATCGGTAGAGACAGGAAGCAGATCAGCAGTGGCTTCAAGAGGGGAACTGGGGAGGAACAGGAGGAAACTTGTAGGGGAGATGGGACTGGGATGTTCACGATCTTGACTCTGATGACACTTTCACAGGTGGATGCATATGCCAAAATGTGTCAGATGGTACACTTCAAATAGGCACAGTTCATTATGTCAGTTATACCTCAGTAAAGCTATCTGAAAAACAACTGTACCATGGAAGGCTCCATGCCAGCCCTCAGGAACACCAAGGTAAATGAAACAAACTCTGCATTCAGGAAGCTGGGAATCTAGCAAGGGAGACGGATGCATACTGAATGGAGTAGAATGCAAATCAGAATAAAAACTGGTATGATAAAAAGAAAAAAGAAAATCTAATTATGGGGCAAAGAAAAGTGGAGAGGTGATTTTTTTTTTCTAGGAGTACAGAGGACAGTCATGGCTAACTATGTACCAGGCACTATGTATATTAACTTCTTTTTTTTTAAGATTTTATTTATTTATTTGACAGAGAAAGAGAGAGAACAATCAGGTGGAGGAGCAGAGGCAGAGGGAGAAGCAGGCTCCCCACTGAGCAGGGAGCCCAACACAGGGCTCCATCTCAGGACCCTCAGATCATGACCTGAGCCGAAGCCAGATGCTTAACTGACTTAACCAGGTGCCCCTTAACCTCTTTCATTCCTACAGAAACTATATGAGTGCTGTCATTGTACCCATTTCACAGGTAAGGAAATAGGCTCTGTATCCAGAATCCATATTCTTACTCACTAGCCTCTAGTCCTCTCTGAGAAGTGTCACATTTGATCTGGGTCATAGAAGAGGGCTGGAATAGCCCCAGAGAGAAAAGGCCATTTTTGGCAGAGAGGGTAGTATGAACTATGACCCAGTAGGACCACAATTACCAAATGTACTGTATGCTTGAAATGTGGCAAGAATTTTCTATGAGCATATTTTGGGTCAGGATAGAAAGGAAGGGCTGAAAAGTAGATTAGGGCCAGGGTGTGAATGGTCTTTGATGATTTGCTAAAGAGTCTGGACTACAATCTTCAGGCAAAAAGAAAAAACTGAAAGTTTTTGAGTCGAATAATATTTGGGTTTTAGAAAACAGAAAAGCTACCTGTCTGCAGTTAAGTGAACACCTGGAACATTTCATGGAAACCCATTCACAGGTATTGCGCTAAAATCACATTAAATCAATAGATTGGGGCTGGACTACACTGTGATTTTAATTATGACCTCAGAATATTTTATTCTGTGGTCACATGAGTCCTATATTCATTTTGTTTTCACCTAAGTTTCCATACATTTTTACCCAACAGAGAAAAACACAGAAGATCACCGTTGGAAAAGAGAGAAGCAAGGGAGGGTACCTGGGTGGCTCAGGGGTTAGGCGTCCAACTCTTGTTTTCAGCTCAAGTTGTGATCTCGGAGTCCTCACTGAGTTCCTTGTCAGGCTCCACACTCAGTGGGAAGTCTGCTTGAGAATTTGCTCTCTCCCTCTTCCCCGGCACATGTATATACACTCTGTCTGTCTGTCTGTCTGTCTCTCAAGTAAATAAATAAATCTTTAAAAAAGAGAGAAAAAGCAAAGTGATCCTTCTCCAAGCCTCTGCTGAATTTAATTCAGAGCTGGACCAAGATATTCTTTCCACCAGCTTAAAATGAAAAGTCCCATAATGACATTTTTACTTCTGTTTCCTATAAAAGTGGTTTTTGACCCCCTCATACATTCAAGTCACAGAATATGCTCATGATCTGGAAAATAAGCATCTAGGTCCAGACATGGATGCTAGCTAGCTCCGTGATGGCCCATGTGACCACCAGAAGTAAATTCCTTTTCCTCTGTGCTTTGACAGGAGTGTCACAAAACCCTACAGGGAATAGCACTCTTCCAGGTGAAAATGTGAGAAATTATCAACTAACCACAGGCAATGCACATCTCCCATGGGAGGCCCAAAGAGACACCTTATGCCCCATTCTTTGGGCTTTCTTAAGGAGATTGGAGACAGGGTACAAAAATGAGGGATCACCCTACAGCAAGGACATGGCAGTAACGGGAAAATTAAATGCTTAGACACGACCAAGCCTTAACTATAAAAACTGGAAGTATCTGGAAGGAATTTGCAAATGCAAAAAAAAAAAAAAATCAGACCAAAGACTGAAGTCTTGGCTTGTCTTCTCAGCTCTACCACTGACTATATTACTTCAAGCGAATTCCTTAATTCCCTACTTTTATTTTTTAAAGATTTTATTTATTTATTCATGAGAGACAAACAGAGAGAGGCAGAGACATAGGCAGAGGGAAAAGCAGGTTCCTTGCAGGGAGCCCGATGTCGGACTTGATCCCAGGACCTTGGGATCATGCCCTGGGCCAAAGGCAACACTCAACCACTGAGTTACCCAGGTGTCCCTAATTCCCTATTTTTAAAAATGGTAGGATGCAGCCTATCCATTCCCTGCTTCCATAAGCAAGTCAATATATGTTAATATAGTCAACAAGCAATTTATGGAGTCTCCTTTGACCCTGGCACACCAGCTGGTAGCAGAATGAGAGCTAGCTCCTTTATGTCTTGATTTCTGTTCCACAACACTGTCACTGTGGCTCCAACTTGACTTATGATACCCCGGAGAGCTTGTTAAACACACAGGTGGTGCCTTACTCAAGTGAGATTCTGATTAAATCACTCTGGGGCTGACCCTAGCAAACTGCATTTTTTGGCTAGAGGCCCAAAGCATTTATATGATCATACAGTTTGGGAAACATTACCTTCTATCATGCTATGCCCTACAGGAAAATTCTATATTCTCTCCTCTTTTTATCCTATATGTTAAAATGGGTAAAATATTTGAGGGGTGCCTGGGTGATTTGTTCAGTTAAGTGTCCAACTTTTGACTTCAGCTCAGGTCGTGATCTCAGGCTCCTGGGATTGAGCCCCACACTGGGCTCCACGCTCAGCAGAGTCTGCTTGAGATTCCGTCTCCCTCTCCCTTGCCCCTCCCTCCACTTGCACACACTCTCACTCTCTCTCAAATAAAATCTTTTAAAAAATAATAGGTAGGGATCCCTGGGTGGTGCAGCGGTTTGGCGCCTGCCTTTGGCCCAGGGCGCGATCCTGGAGACCCGGGATCGAATCCCACGTCGGGCTCCCGGTGCATGGAGCCTGCTTCTCCCTCTGCCTGTGTCTCTGCCTCTCTCTCTCTCTCTCTCTGTGTGACTATCATAAATAAATAAAAATTAAAAAAAAATAAAAACAAAAAATAATAGGTAAAACATTTGAAAGACATTTTTGATGAATAAAATTCTCTACTCAAGATATCAACACAGTTACAGAATAAGAAACACTTTTTTTTTAAGATTTTATTTATTTGAGAGAGAGAGTGTGTGCAAGTGTGCTCAAGCAGGGGGAAGGGGAGGAGCAGAGGGAGAGGGAGAAGCAGCTTCCCCACTGAACAGGGAGCCTGATGCGGCTCCATCCCAGGACCCTGAGATCATGAGCCGAACTGAAGGAAGCCACTTAACTGATTAAGCTACCCAGGCACCCCCCTCTTTTTTGTTTTTAAATTTTATTATTTTTAAAGTAATCTGTACACCCAAGTGGGGCTTAAACCCACAATTCCAAGATCAAGAGTCATGTGCTCTGCCAACTAAGCCAGGCAGGTGCTCCATCATTTTAATTAGAAACAGCAAATATTATTTCCTTTATGACTTTCCAAATACTGCAATCTAGACTCTATCTTTTAAATAAGCCTATTAGTATTTTCTGTGTGGCCTGGAAAAAATGAAGTAGTATATCTCAATTTGCCCCAATTAATGACAATTAAATCCTAAAATGGTTCATTTGCCTATTATGGACTGGAGTAGTCCCCCAGTAGATCATATTCTCCTCAAAAACAAGGAATTGGTCTTTTACATATATGACATCTTAGAACAATACATACTAGATGTCTGGATAGATGTAGATGGATGGATGAATGGATGAGTAGCGAAGATTGATACCAATTTTTTAAATGATCAAATAATGTGAATGAATGAGTTCTGGCCCTAAATACCATAATACGTTGTTGTGGAAACAAAACATATTCACAAAGGTTTAGCAAAAATTGTCTTGTTATCATTGTCTAATATACTAGAAAAGTAAAAACAGGGTTACCACTGCACGGGGAAATTTTAATCTCTCCCCCACCCATCCTCCCCCCAAAAACCTTGCTACTAGTTGATTTATCAGTACTACCCACATGTGGCAGAATGATTTGTGCCACAAACACATCACTCACACTTCTCCACAATCGAGATGACACATGCGGTTCCCTAAATGTTCCACCTGGAGGTATTTTGGGGGCAGCTACAGAGGGGGCTTCCAGAACCAATGGAGGAGTTGAGACACATGAGGTCACAGAGCTACTGCCTCTCCCCCTTCAAAAGAAACCACTCTGCTCCCTTTATTTCAGAATCTAGAGGAAGTTGACAAAGTGTGACAACAGCACAGCACAGTATGTGGTGGAGACTTTGCAGCTTGCTGGCTTGGTTCCCCTTACAAGGTAAGGATTTAGAACTAATTTTTTATGATACTCAGTTGACTTGACTTTATCAGTTGACTGCATTCGCGGAGGGCCTACTACAGAAGACAACCCAGGTAAGTATGTTATTACTTTCCAAGCTGTACCACGATCACACATGGGGGGACGTTACCCCTTTATTTAATCTCTTGTTCAATTTCTAATGGGTATGGGTCTCTGGGGGGTCCATGTTATGGCAAAATGTGACAAGCTTATCAGGCTCTGTCTTTTAAGTAAGTGTAAACCAGGGGCAGAGCAGAGTTTTGGATTTTAAAAACTGCCTCGCTCTATAAGCCTTAGCCAGATAATTTAAGTGCTCTGAAAACTCAATTTCTGCATCTTGAAATGAAGATGATTAGCAATGTTCAACTACCAAGCTCCCCGGATTTTTAAAGGGATCAAATTCCAAAACATAAGAGCACTCTGAAGATGGCAAAGTGCTATACAACTCTTCATTAGTTCAGAGATCATAATGAGCCCCGTGAAAAACTCATGCTTAGATGAGGCAGCTATACTTGACATTTTATTATAATTTTCAAATTTGATTTTTGATGCTTACTTAATTCTAACGTAGCACATGAAAATTAAAGACACGGTTACCTTTTTAGCACAGGTCAAATTATTCCTGCTCTAAAGGGCGGGGGGAGGGGCCAGGGCGTAGGTGTCTCTAAATCTCTGATTGCAACTTGTACCAGATTGGATTCTCGCAAAAGAACCCGTATGTACATGTACTGCTTGCTTGTTGTGTGTACTTCCGAATATTGAACTGAATTATAGTTATATTTCAGGTAATGCACCTGCCCTTCTAAATCTCCATTCACCATAGAACTGCATCTGAATGACTCGATTTTAAAAAGCTAGATTTCTTGTTTTATGGAGTATTTCAATTTCTTATTTTAAACAATTAAATTAAGTGTGTTCTTTTTTGGTCCCTTTGCTCTGAGGCACTTAATATGAATTCAATATTTGGTAATAAATAATATTAGTTTCTTCAATAAGTGGCTTAAAGGACAGCTCCTACATTCAGGAAAAGTACACTTAGACAGCTAAAATTAGTAAGTTTTCAATGATTCCAAAATTTAAAGCCCTTCACTGACTTTCACTTTTTGAGGATTCAAGTTATTGCCTCATAAAAATACCTTACAAAAAAAGTTTTAAAATAAAAACAATAATCATGACTTAAGGCAAACCTAAAATAACTCTTAGAATACAGATTATTCAAATACTATTTATAGAGACAGGAGAAAAATTTATTCATTGTGCCAGGCACAGGAGTGAGCACTTTATACTAATAATATTTCAGCCTAGCAAATTGACTGAGGTATTAATGTCCCCTACCCTAATTTCCATGAGAAAATAGAGTTTAAAAGCAGTTAGGTAACCTGCCCACATTTTCATAGCTAGTAAATCAGCCTGCACAGCACATATATAAGAATTATCTCATGAAACATTTATTTTTTTTAATTTTTTTAAGATTTTTTTTAATTTTTATTTTATTTATGATAGTCACACACAGAGAGAGAGAGAGGCAGAGACACAGGCAGAGGGAGAAGCAGGCTCCATGCACCGGGAGCCCGACGTGGGATTCGATCCCGGGTCTCCAGGATCACGCCCTGGGCCAAAGGCAGGCGCCAAACTGCTGCGCCACCCAGGGATCCCTCATGAAACATTTAGAGTGTGTGTGTGTGTGTGTGTTTCTACTAGATTATGGTAGAAAGTGTTTCTTAATGCAGATCTAAAGTTTGAAAACCACTGATGTATATAATTTGGAAGATCTGTTATTGAAAAACCCCAATATGTAAGCTCACCCAAAGGGCCACCCAAAAGGCAGGTACGCTCAATGAATACAAACTGTCCCCTCTGACTAACCTTGCTCGGGCCAGAGTCCCAAACAGGGAAGGAGTTGACCACGTTGCTTTCTTGTTACCAAAAAGACATCAAATCATCAATTTTGGCAACACTTTACATTGCCAGCTGTCTTTAGCTATGAATCATGGGAAGATCACTGTACCTTCTACTAAGCAACTTCTAAGGCTGCCAAGAATTATGGGCAAAAGTCCCATAATCTTGGAGCCTGACTCTTTTCAAGGTCACTACTCACATAGATAGCCTCTAGATGGGTAAAATGCAGTAAGAATGAAGAATCTTTCAAAATGAATCCCATTCACCTATATCGTGAATGATGAAAATCTACCAATTTGAACCTTCTATTCTGGCCTTTACAAAGAACAGCTGCATATTTAAGGTTCTGTTGAGATTCCTTTTGACCATTAAAAGGTCCCACTTTTCTTGACACTTTGAGATGTCTTCTTGAAAGCCATACTGGAAATAATTTTGGCACAGCCAGATTCATCTGCACCCTTGCGATTTTCTCTGTTGAGTCAATCTAAAAAAAAATACTAATAATCCTTTTTTATAATGATCTAAATTGAAGCATTTTTGTTTATGACTTCATAATAGTCATGTACGTAGGGCTCTGATTTGAGACTCTCATCCTCAGTCTCTGGTTTAACTTAGCGCAAGTCTTTCTTATACAACATAATGATAACAGAGCCAAGGTGGCATCCTATTACATTGTTTATTACTGACTATATAAATGTCCATGCTTTTAGCCATTAATTCAACTAATACTTAAAATATTATTTTGAAAATAAAATCTTGGTGTTAGGTCCTGGGACTATAAAACAAATGAATGGCAAACAACTTTCCTATGAGAAGTTTGCAAACTCCACAGAGAGATACTTATAAGCAAATATAAAGCAATGTGCTAAGTGCTATAAGAGAAGTCCATTCAAAACCTTTAAGGATCTGGAGGAGAGGGCAGGTCATCATGGGGAAGGAGGAGGCTAAAGACTGGTTAGGTGGATTTGACAAAAGTGGTGTAATTTGAGTTGAGTTTTGGAGGAGGTAAGAAAAGTATCCAGGTGGTGGCATGGCACCTGAGTGGCTCAGTCAATTAAGTATCCAATTCTTGATTTCAGCTCAGATCATGATCTCAGGGTCATGATGATCTCAGGGTCCTGAGATGGAGACCTGCCTCCCCGCATCAAGCCTCCAGGCTCCTCACTGGGAATGGAGCCTGCTTAAGAATCTCTCTCCATGGCAACCTTCTCAGGTCCCCTCCCTCTTCAGGAGCTTAGTATTATCACTCAATAAACTTTGCTTTGCTGCCCACTAGAGAGAGAGAGAGAGAGAGGGAAAGAGAGAGAGAGAGAGAGAGAGAGAGAGACTCCTTCTACCCTTCCCCCAACTCTTAAAAAAAAAAAAAGAAAAGAAAAGAAAAGCAAAAGATATCCAAGTCAGTAGAACAGTAGGGACAAAGGAAAAGTGTCTTCTTGAGACTGGACCTGGCAGTGGCTGGTGACCACATTAGATACAAGCAGAAGTGGAATGGAGCTGGTGGTGTATCTGTGCTAGGTGTGTGTGGAGCCTAGGGGGACACAAGAAATGATGAGTTCCAATGGGACATCACAAGTTTGGGGGCCCTACAGGACAGGCTCATTTGATTCTGGAGTTTTAAAATTTATTGCATGTAATCATTAAGTTACTAAGGTAAGAAAAAAATAACATTTTACTCTTTCTTGAATCTACCATGATAACCTCTCATAGAGAGGAGATCAGACACTGCAACTCCCAACATCTTGGGGGAAAACCAAGGAATCTTAAGAACTGCTCAGGTTTTATCTATGCAAGCTCTGGTAGATGGTTGTGACTGCTGCTTGCCCTTTGGCTTGAGGGTCAGTCACAGGTGCTTTGGCATGAATCCACTGCCCTGACAGGACCATTAGAGTTCATGAGATTGCGGGTGGAGATGATGAAGGTCACAGCTTCTATTTCTATATATAAACCAGTCACAATCTATAACCCCAGCAGCCTCCTAACACATGGCCTTGCATGGATGGATGAATCTAGTCAGAAGTCAATAATCCACTCAGTAAACACCTACCAGCAATAAGTGGGGGACCTCCCAGGAGAAACACCACCGCTATTCACTGCCAAGCTTTGCACACTCAGCATCTGTGGAACCACATAGGGCTAACGTGCAGACTGGAACTCTGAAGCCCTGCTGGGGAGCACCAGGAAGGAGGCTCACAGCACTTGGGATCTACCCAAGAAAGGCTAAGAGTGCATACGGATATCTATGTTTCTAGAGCCTGCAAGGGGAGGAAGTGGTAAGCAGAGAAGGTAACCCACACCCCACTTCTCTGACAAAGGTGAAAGTAGGACTCCAAACTTAGATGGAAAAAAAAAAAACCATAAAAGGTGGTTCCAGTTTAGTTTGCAATGACAAAGAGAGAGTCCTGGGGAACTTCCCCTTAGAAGATGTGCCATCAAAATGCAGGTACAGGGATCTTCCTCTTCCATGCTTGAGCAGAGCCTAGACCCGCCGAGCTATCTTTTTAAGCACTTGCAGCTGAAGCAGTGTGAGTCTGTGGCTTCTCTCTGGGGCTATTCTTCCCTTCTACAATGATTTCCTGTCTCTAAATCAAACATGGGTCTACATGATAACACTAAACGAGAAATCAGCCTGTAAAGCTAAAGGCAAGGCTTGGAGCAGAGTAGAGAAAGCAGCAACTATCCCAGGCCTCAAGCATCGTCCTTTCCAAGTGATACCCAGGCATTTATATTTGTGGTCTATAGGCTGATATTAAATTCTCGACAACAAAAGCAAACACTAATCTCAGGAGATACGATTCTTTAGCATATGCTAAAAAGCCCCCTTATATTTCATGACAATGTCTTCAGCATTATAAGAATCAAATAACAATTTAATTCAAAAACACATATCCCAAGAAAAAAGACATCCTTAAAGTGGATGACATTTATTCATAAACAGGCTGCAGATAAATACCACTCCCATTTCCCCAGATGCAGGCTTCCTGTCTAGACAATCACTTTGCCAAAGGTAAAAACATGAGCAAAACGTTTTAGTATCAACTTCTGGACTGGAGGATGAAATCAGGGCATGTTGCTTAACTGTGGTCTTTTTTCTATCATTGATTCAACCTAGTAACTTCCCTCCTGTCTCAGTATTCTTATTAACAACAGGAGACCAAAGACCTGTCCATCACCTGCTCTATGTTGCCATCATGAAAGCTGGCGCTAAACCATTACTTTCCAAGCTCACACTGTGATAGTTTCTATAAGGAATGAATTTTAGAGAAATATAGTCACTGCCCTCTAGAAACTTCAACCTGTGGGAAGCAGGATAACACATAAGAACTAAAAAATAGAGCAAGAGTCACGATGGGAATGATCATGGAAGCAATGGAAAGTAGACAGTTCTAGATTCAATTTCTTGGCTCAGAAACTCCTTAGCCTTAGAAGAAATTCCATTGTCATTTCAAAGCCTCTCTACTAATATTGTCTTTATTACTCAATTATGAGTTGATTTTATAGATAAAAGTATTTCCAAATGACGCAACCTAAGCAGAATCCTGGGCTTATGCTTCAATGCGCTTATGAAAACACAGTATCTTTTTATCGACTCTTCATTGTTCATTATAGTATTGGTGATGATATGGGTATTTTTCCATTACAAGTCAAGCAAACTTTTTTCCCCATGAAAGTCAATACGAATACAATACAATGATTCTGGGTTATTATTGCCAGAAGCTAAATTGAAATTAATGGCCTAGGAATGGGACAAACTAAAAAGTCTACATCAATTAATTCCCAGGGCTCTCCAAAGCACTTTTCTTAATACTTGAAATTCATCACAAGCAAATAAATTCCTTGTTTCTTTCTCTCTCTCTTTTTTAAGGTTTTAGATGATGCAGTAAAACTCATTACCGTGGCTATTCATAATTTATAACTCCCACAGTATTCTTCTGTTTATGGAAGTGTTTTGTACTTTCATTGATAAGAATTGTCTAGTCCTCAGAAAAAAAAGATTTTTTTTAATTTAAAACTTGAAGAAATAATGGATGGCAATAAATGTGCCAAATCAGCAGCAAAGCCAATTTATTTATTTTTTTATCAATTTCCTTTTTGGGAGAATACATTTGCAGCTGCTTACAACCAATTGTTTATCATTCTTTGGGGGTTGTGATTTGGGAAAAATAGATTCTCATGTTTGCCTGGAGAAAGTGCTGCTGTGGAAAATTGAATTGAAAGAGATCTTAGAACATGCTCCCTCTGACATACAATCTCTTCTGCAGGTGGGGCTTAACCACTCCCTGTGAAGGTGCTCACAGGAGCACTACTTGGGATCCTAGACACATAACTTAAAGCCACAAGTCACCTGTTTCATAAATTGAAGCCAGAAAGGTTGAGTTTTCTGGGGTCTCATCATTTAGACAGTCTGACCTAATTACAAGACCATGGACTTTGAAGCCCATAGACATGGGTACAGAACCCAGCCCCAGAACCTGTGTCACCTTCAGCCTCTATTCCTTCATCTGTAGAGCCAGAGAGATAATTCTTTCTTTACACAGTTAGTTCAAACGCTAAATTAAATATAGGTTAACGTGGCTGAGCAGAGTTCCTGGCCTATAAGAGAGCAAGTGTCCAATACATGTTGTTCAACATTTTCCTTCTTTCCTATCAAAAGCCCACTCTTCATTCAGGCCTCCTTCAGGTGACATCTCCTGCTCCTAGGTAGGAAGCTTGCTCCTTTATACTGATTTATATTTTGTTTCTCTAGGAAGTATGTAATGAGGGGGCCCCTGGGTGGCTCAGTTGGTTAAGTATCTGATTCTTGATTTTGGCTCATGTCATGATCTCAGGGTCATGAGATCAAGCCCCACCTTGGGCTCCATGCTGAGCATGGAGACTGCTTAAGATTCTCTCTCTCTCTGCACCTCTTTCCCTGCTTGCTCACTCTTGCTCTCTGAAAAAAAAAAAGTATGTAATGAATGACAGAATGAATCCATGGGTTGTGTTGAGAAGACGACCTTGGCTCAGCTTGGAAGTGTCTTGGCCCATGCCAGTCTGACCGTCCCCAATTCTCTTTCTCTGCAGAAGCCTTTCTGACTAACCACATGGAAACAGTCACCGTGGAGGAAGGCCAGACGCTCACTCTCAACTGTGTTGTTTCTCCAGAGAAGACCACCTCCCTGCAGTGGCTGGCCCCGTCAGGGTTCACCATTTTTTTAAATGAGCATCCTGGTAAGTGAAAGAAAAAAAAATCGCCACCAGACCTCAACCTGAGGGATTTTCCAGACAGACAAGTTGGTGGGATAGAAACCAGCATGAGTCACCCAAAAGGTGGACTTGGCCCACCTACTATTACATGAGGATCACACCCAGAGGCCTATCATTTTACACATGGCTGCTTTTTCTGACAGGAAGTCTGAAATGGAAACCCCACCAGAATGGTTAGTAAAGGGGGCTCAAGTTACAAAGCACATTTCCTTGCCCACACCTCACTGCCACGTCACTCTTGTACTCAGCAGTCATGAAACTGCCAGCAGCACCAATGACAGGCCGCAGACTAACCTGAGGCCTTTTGTCCTCGAGCAGCTAACACCATCGCCCCACATCTGGAGCCAGCTGCTTCGTTTTTCATCTGTGCAATTCAAAGTCCCATCACAAAGCTCCCTTCCAGATATTGCCTTTTCTCCTGCTGGTCTCAACACAAAAGCAAGATCCCTGAGCACCTGAGGAATGGACAGGACATAGACTTTGGAAGAGAGAGCATGCATTCCTATTTTCACAAATACACACTGAGTCCCAGATGTCTGAGAGGGAAAGGGACTCTTCCCCCGGCCCCTAGTTTTATTGAGATCTAATAAACAGGTAACACTGTATAAGGTGTAAAATGATCTGATATTTCATATATACTGCAAAATAACCACCACAGGAAGTCTAGCTAACATCCATCACCTCACACGGTCACAAAGGGTTTTTGGGTTATTTTCTGAAGGAAAGGGATTTTTTTTTTGAAAGGGATTTTTTTTTAAATTTTTATTTATTCATAATAGTCACAGAGAGAGAGAGAGGCAGAGACACAGGCAGAGGGAGAAGCAGGCTCCATGCACCGGGAGCCCGACGTGGGATTCGATCCCGGTCTCCAGGATCGCGCCCTGGGCCAAAGGCAGGCGCCAAACCGCTGCGCCACCCAGGGATCCCCTGAAAGGGATTTTTAAAAGTCTCTTTAGTTCATCTCTTTGGGCAGGATTTTACTAAGCCCTCCCCTTCATAATGAGACCATTGTAAATCTCCATTTAATATTCTGAACTGCCAAATGCTTGGAAAAGTCTCTGAAACAGAGAATTTCATTGTGCCTTGTAGAAGTAGAGCCTCTAAAAAACTTGATATGGTATGAAACATTTTTTTTAAAGATTTATTTATTTAGAGTGAGAGAGAGAGCATGGGTAGGAGGGGCAGAAGGAGAGGGGGAGAGAGAAAATCTCAAGCAGACTCTGCACTGAGCATAAATCCCAGGACCCTGAGATCATGACCTGAGTGAAAACCAAGAGTCAGAAGCTTACTGAGCCCCTCAGGCACCCCTCTGCATGAAACATTATTAAATATCACTATGTTCAATGTAAACTAACCATATATTTCAAGCTAAGTAAACTATTCATAGTAGATTCCAATAAAGTAAGTAGATGTGAATTGTTCTGAGAGAAAAACTTTGAGTGGAGATCATTCCTGTTGAATAATGCTTTCTCGTGTTTCAGTTTGGTTTTTAATAAACTGAGAAGATGAGCACTGTCAAATTTCTGCAGAATACCTTGATTGAACTCGGTGATGTCCAACTGAGGGTCATTCTTGCCTTCAAGGGGACATCTGGCAATGTCTGGAGGGAGTTTGGATTGTTGTAACTGGAAAAAGGCAGGGGGGCGGGGTCTGGCATCTAAGGAGCAGAGGCCAGGATTGCTGCTAGACATCTTCAGGTGTACAGGGTAGCTCCCACAACCAAGAATTATGGACTCAAAGTCAATGTGCTGAGGCTGAGAATGCCTGAATTCTAGCCCAGGTAACATCGGTGTCAAAGGACACAGAACCATTAGTTCAGATGAGAAACAACCTTCCTTGGTCAGCCACTCAAGGTTTAACTATTTTTGGCTTGTTTATGTTACAAACCTAGGAAGGAAGGAAGGAAGGAAGGAAGGAAGGAAGGAAGGAAGGAAGGAAGGAAGGAAGGGAGGGAGGGAGGGGAAATGAAGAGAATGAAAGGAAGAGAGTACTTGATTCGGCAGCACATATACTAAAGTTGAAAGAAAGAGAAAGAGAAAAAAACAGTCATTTCAGGAGCCTCTGATTTGTTAAGGGACCTATGACCTGAGATATAGAATCAAACAAACAGCAACAACCTCAACACTTGCTATAATCTTTAGGAAACTATAGGGGCACTTGGGTGGCTCAGTTGATTGTCTGCCTTCGGCTCAGGTCATGCATGATCTCAGGGTCCTGGGCTCAAGCCCCATGTCAAGCTTCCCTGTTCAGCAGGGAGCCTGCTTCTCCCTCTCCCCCACCGCCTGCTCATGCTCTCTCTTGAGATATCTCTTTCTCTCTCTCTCTCAAATAAATAAATAAGATCTTTTAAAAAATATTTAGGAAACTTCAACTAATAATAGACCTCTAAAAAATTAAAAATAAAAGGGGGTGCCTGGCTGGCTCAGTCAGTAGAGCCTGAGACTGACTCTTGCTCTCGGGGTTGTGAGTTCGAGCCCCACATTGTATGTAGAGGTTACTTAAAACCTTTAAAAATAAAAAGCACCCAAATGGAGTAATGGATAACCATACATTTATCATCCACTCTTCACATCCATCTTGACAAGACAACCTCAGATCAATCAGATTTCAAAGAGGTAAGTCTAATGGGGCATTTTTTGTAATGTAAAAAAAGAAAAGTAAATTTAATCCTCCTGCAACCCGAACCCTTCACCAGCATTGGGTTAATCTCCTACGTGCACAAATAAAGCAAATGGTCTATTTCACAGGTCCCAGTATCAAAATATTTCATTTCCTAAACTAATGTCAAGCTATTGAGAGGCATCCAGCTGGGAACACTAGGATTTGGAAGGCAGCTCAATTGAAGATGGGACATTTGTTCTGTCGAAGTGTAAAATTCAAAAGCCATTCCTGCAAATAATCAATCCACTAAGAGATTAGATTCTTCTGATCGCTTTCTTCCTAACAGCTCTTTTTCCCCCCTCTTGTCCAGCTTTACAAAATTCCAAATACAAGCTTCTTCACCACTCCACCAATCAGCTCTCCATCAGCGTGCTTAACGTCAGCCAGCGGGATGAAGGCGTGTACAAGTGCTTACATTACAGTAACTCCGTGAGAACAAAGGAAGTAAAAGTGATGGTGCTAGGTAGGTGCCTGACAGCCAGCAAACCCCCGCACGGGAACAACAAGACTTAGGAACAGGACAGATCGTTCTCAGACTTAACATTTTACTTAGAAATACTGCCTAGTGCAGAGCATTTTCTAGGGCACCTCCAACCATCTTTTGTTGAAAGGAAAAACGGAAAGGAGCATTTTGACTGGCGAGCCCTAGATTAAAATGTGACTCTGTGAAATTTGCCCTTGGCATCAACTAAGTTTCCTGTCTCGGAGACTAAGAGAAAGGAGAATTGATAGGTGATAAGCTGCTACGAGGCGCCAGGCGCTGTGCTAAGCTCCAGGGAATCAAAGAGGAACCAGGCACATCCCTGCCCAGGGGGGTGGGCACACGAGTTTAGGAAGGCAAAACATGCATGTAAATAAAGGTGAACCCCACAACAGCATATCCTAAGACTGAATGAATTCAGATGTAACTGCACTGGACACTTGGCTCACGTCCTCTGCCGAAGCCAGTTCCTCTCTTCCGGTGGGATGTGGGGTTGGGAGGTGTGGGTAGGAAGTGACGGCGTCCTGATTGCCTGGGACTCGCTCAGTTCTGTGGATGGTCGGATGTGTTTGGCATCAGTCTTTTTTTTTTTTAAGATTTTATTTATTTATTCATGAGAGGCACACAGAGAGAGGCAGAGACATAGGCAGAGGAAGAAGCAGGCTCCATGCAGGGAGCTGGATGCGGGACTCGATCCCAGGACCCAGAGATCACACCCTGAGCTGAAGGCAGACGCTTAACCACTTAGCCACCCAGGCCTCCCTGTTTGGCATCAGTCTTACCCTCTTTATTTTTCTGCTTTTTGTGACGGACCAGATCAATTATAAACATTGATTTTTGTTAATCTCTAAGTGATGCAATTCCACATATCACAAGTGAGTTTCTCAGGCTTCTCCTGTTGGATGAATACACCCGGGGGCCTGCCATAAAGTAAAGGCACGGTGACAAAGTATCTGGGAAGGAACAGCTCCCTAGGGGTTTTGAGAACCGGTGTGACTCAACCCATCCTCCTGGCCACCCCTCATAGCACTCTGGCTCACGCTGCTTGCGTGCCCTTCTGGGCTCTTGTGCCACTCCACTCGTACCTCTTTCCCTGCCCTTAACACATGATCCTTTAACTAACAGCTTAGGGGCTGAGTCTATCACACTGTTAGCTTCTCAAAGGGCTTTATCTTTTCCATATTTGTACTGTCAGCATTGAATGCATCCAGCGCACACTTGGAGCTGACTTTGCAATCTCAATGGCAGATAAGTGAGCAAATCAGTGTGAAAGGGTGCAGGCCTGGACCAATGTGTGAAGTAGAATGGGAAAGAGGAAGAAGTTAGCCTACTTGACCCTGGAACCACACAGGTTTAAATTGTGCAGGTGCACTTATATGCAATTTTTTTTCGATAAATACAGTCCAGTACTATGAATGTATTTTCTCTTCCTTGTGATTTTCTTAATAACATTTTCTTTTCTCTAGCTGGCTTTGTTGTAAGAACACAGTACAGAATACATATACAAAATATGTGTTAATCAACTGTTCATGTTATTGGTAAGGCTTCCCATCAACAGAAGGCTGTTGGTTAAGTTGGGAAGGAGTCAAAAGTTACACAAGGATTTTCTTTTCTTTTTTTTTTTTAATTTTCTTAATTTTTATTTATTTATGATAGTCACACAGAGAGAGAGAGAGAGAGAGAGAGAGAGAGAGGCAGAGACACAGGCAGAGGGAGAAGCAGGCTCCATGCACCGGGAGCCTGACGTGGGATTCGATCCCGGGTCTCCAGGATCGCGCCCTGGGCCAAAAGGAGGCGCCAAACCGCTGTACCACCCAGGGATCCCTACACAAGGATTTTCAACTGTGCAGTGGTCAGGGGAGGCGTCAGCACCTCTAACGTCCACATTGTGTCAAGGGTCAACTCTATTTCCAAGACAGGAGTAGGAAAAAAAAAAAAGACAGATGGGCCCTTTATAAGAGAAATGCATCTTTGATGTTAGCAGGGAACAGAACTAACTTACCTCGAGGTGAATCATACACTCAGAAAAGTCTAGAACCGTAGCAGCCAACTCATAAACCAACTCCTTCGTGTCACAGACAAGGAAACTGACCCACCAGGATGTTGAGGGACATACAATAGTTCTTGCAATCACAGGTGGACCTAGAATTCAGGTCTGTACTCCTCACCTAGTGCTCTACCAATCAACTACAGTCATACATCAAATGTAAAAATTGTTGTTGTATCCCTGGGAATTTCCAGGGACTAATCATACACTGGGTAACCAGCAATGTGACCAAGATAGCTTTACAAGTACCTAAAAGCCTTTTGAACCATAGTATGAGAAAGATCAAGTTTAAAAACAAAAAATGCCCATTATTTAGACCATATGGTACAACGATCCCTTTAGATTATTATATTCCATGCTTTCCTGGGATATGTAGACCAGCTAACTGAGCACAGAAAAATCAATTCTCTTCCAGCAACACCTTCCATGCCAACCCTGGAAGCTTCAGTTATCAGAACGCAAAATGGAAAGGAACACGTTACACTTAGATGCTCCACTGTGAGAAGTAAGCCCCCTCCGCAGATAACCTGGATTTTAGGGAATGACATAGAGCTCTATGGTAAGTGGGGAGCTGGTTCTGTTTCCTCCTTTGTTTTCCATCCTACTTACATTTCCAAGGAATTTTTAAATCCTCTGGCACCCTCTGGTGGCATTAGGTGTCCGAAAACAACACTCAATAACTCTTCAGTTCTTCTCCAAATTATCTTTATAGCCAATCAAGATGATGCTTTCGTCTTGAAAGCCTATCACAAATAATGTGATTACATATATATATTTAGAATAGAAACTTAAAATGGAATATTATAGCTTCTTAAAATTCAACAAAAGTTCATATCTAGGTACAACTATTACCTCCGCATGAACTTGTTAGCAGACATAAAATAGAAAATACATTTAACATGATGCTTGTGTATTGGAATAGGTAAGATCCTCCTTATACACTACAATGTCATACCCTCAATAAACATATATTATGGAGAAAGAATCTAAACTCTGAGTAGATTGAAGCAGGGTTCAATGAACTGAAGCAGGATAACTACTTCAGAACTGTTTATAGTTTGCTGACATTGTAACATATGTTACATTGGATTTTACATAGAGAGAGGTTCGGTCCAGTGCCAATTCTACACCATTATAAGACCTATTCTTTCATTTGCCTTATTCATTCAACCTGAGTAAAGTCTTGGATCTTTGTGTTTGACAACATCAGGCTGTCCTTATGTAACCACAATAAGCTTTGGAATTTTTTTTTCAGCAGTGAAGGTTTATACCAACCTAACCACTGTTATTCACCTGCTTCCCTCTGTGACAAGGGCCAAGTGTGTATGAGGTTGCTGACTGAAGCTAGAATGAGCTTAGAAGTCTAACAGCTAAAAAAAAAAAAAAGTCTAACAGCTTTGTGAAGATGTCCCAGCCGTTGGTCCCTGAGAGAACTAAACCCATCCAGTGATATTACGTAGCCACAACCTCATACATCTATTTAACTTGCTCCACAGGTGAAACCCACCATGAATTTGAAATGGATGGGAAGAAATGTAATAGCAGCAGCCTCCTCAGAGTCCACAAATATGGCAAAAACTCAACAGTGAACTGCATCATCCGACACAAAGGTCTACAGGGAAGAAAACTGGTAGCACCTTTCCGATTTGAAGATTTGGGTAAGAAGAATGAATGACGGTCTTTAATCATTTTTAATGATTACCCTAACATTACATTATCAAACAAAATTAAATGGAATGGGAAGAGTCCTTCAGAGTGAGATCACTGTCCACAAAGCTCTCCTTAGCAGCAAATTCCTTTAATGATCGAAATTTCTCCAGCTGGGTGCTAGAATGCACTTGTTCCAACATTCAGAACCCCAGTTGTGCAGAAAGCCTAGCAGGGCGCCATATGCAAATAGTGTCATGATTCCTTTTTGGTAGTGACAGCTGGCATAACTCGGCCTTCAACAGTTTTATTGCAGTCATGTTTTCAGAGAAGTATCTGTGCTTCAGATGGCCTCTGTGCTTTATCTTTGTAGTCAACCCAAAAGGAGATAACAACGATTGAAATAAATCTAAACTTGCTGGCGTCATTTTATGTTAATATAAAACTTGTGTGACTCACACAAATTAAGCCACAATTACTCTTTAGATATATTTTGTTATGACGGTTTTTGCAGATTTTCATTTAACCATGTTAATATTCTGGGGAGAACAAATACTAACACATAAAATGCCAAATGGTAAATGTGAAGAAGAATTGCCTCCATTTTCAGAATGGGTTCTGCAATTTCTTCACCAAAAGCAAATAATAATAATAATAATAATTTTTAAACTCTAGAAAACTTTCTCTTTTTTTAAAAAAGAGAGATAAATTGTGAGGGGGTGGGGGCAGAGGGAGAGAGAATCTCAAGCAGACTTTTTGCCCAGCACAGAGCCTGAGACAGGACTCGATCCCATGACCCTCAGATGATGACCTAAGCCAAAAATCAAGAGTCAGACACTTAACTGAGCCACCCAGGTAGTGCTAGAAAACTTTTTGATCCAAGAAGTATCTAATAAGAAGTAGCATGAATCACACATCTATAATTAATAAGACTCTGACCTTTGTTATTTGTAAGGTGCTACTCAGTGTAAAAAGAATTCCTGAAGTGCAAGGATTCACTCACACTAGTGAAGGAGGGAGCTGGATGAGTATATGTTTGTTGAGAAAGCTCTACATGAAATAACTGCTCATGCAAGACACTCATTAAGGATAATGCCATCATGGGAAAAGCGCCCTGCAGCCCTGTGGGGGCTGCTGCTGTGGCTAACAGCTCCCCTCTCACTACCACATGCTTTCCATCAGTCACTTTCTCAAACCAAAAGTAGCAAGTCTTGAGGAAGTTGCCTCTAGAAGCCTGGGGCCCCCTACCCTGGGCTGCCTACTGTCATCTGATGCAGAGTCCTGCCGCTCCTTCACTGTTCCCCTCTAGCCTCTATGGTCAGTGGAGCATAGTGCATGCAGGGCATGCTTCTGAAAAATATTCAGGTTATTATTATTTTTTAAGATTTATTTGAGAGAGGGAGAGAGAGAAAAAGAGAGAGCACATGGGGAAGGGGGAGAGAGAGAATCTCAAGCAGATTTCCCATTGAGCATGGAGCCTGACGCAGGGCTTAATCTTACAACCCTGAGATCATAATCTGAGCTGAAACCAAGAGTCAGACGCTCAACCGACTGAGCCACCCAGGTGCCCCAGACATTCAGATTCTTAAACAAGAGAACCAATGATGCTGGAAAAAAAATTATATATATATAATTTATAATATATATAAATATATTTATATATTTATTTTTTACTTTTTAGCTATTGTTCAGGCCATCTACAAAAATTACTCCTGAGTGGAAATGACAGTTTCTTCTCCATTATGGCCATGGTTCTGTAGGACTCAAAATCCCAGCCATAAGATGCTTCTAATTAGAATAAAACTTGACTTTTATTTCTGATCTATCGATTACTTAGCACCCACTGCCAAGATCTCCATAAATATTCAAAGAGCAACTTCAGTATCAGCTATTGGTGGCTTCCATTTGTTTACAGCTTTTTTCCCTTTGGCAAACTATTACACTGACATACAGATATTACACACGTTTTGTTCATCCAATGAGTTTAAAAAGTTTGATTAGCTGAGAGGTGCTTTAAAACACATTTACAAGTAAGGATTCTGACCCCTTTCCTTCCCACACTCTGCATGGTAGGACCTGGGAAAATGTAAGCATCATATCCGGGGCTATGAGTAGTGTCTTCCTTTGAAAAACCCACACTTAGATATTGTGAAAGGGTGATGCTTGGAGAAGGAGAACAGAACAGGAATAGAATCAGACCCTCCTCAAAATGATTTACTTCATTTATTTAGTGTTCCAAAGTGAGGGATCTTGATTTCCTATTACTTAACTGGAGGTGAAATAAAAACAAAAACTTGAGTGGCAATTCTCAAACTTACTGATTTCAGGACCCCTCTACACTCCAACAAATAATTGAGGACCCCAAAGAATTTTTATTTATGTGAATTGTATCTGTCAATATTTACATATTAGAAATTAAAACTGAAAAAAAGTGTGAATACTTATATATTTAAAAAATAATTAGTCCACTACATATAAACACAAATAGTATATTTGTGTGGAAAAAATAACTATTTTGCAACAGCAAAATATTAGTGAGAAAAATGGCACTGTTTTTCATTCTGAAAATCTCTTTGGTATCTGGCTTAATAGAAAATAACTAGGTTCAGGGCACCTGGGTTGCACAGTTGGTTAAGCGTTTGACTCTTGGTTTTGGTTCAGGTTGTGATCATAGTGTCCTGAGATCAAGCCCCATGTTGGGCTCTGTGCTCAGTGAGGAGTCTGCTTGAGATTCTCTTTCCCTTTCCCTCTGCCCCTCCCACTCATGCTCTCTCTAAAATACATAAATCTTTAAAAATTACATTCTCATAACTTCAGCATTCAATCTCTTGCAATACATTGTTTTGCTTGAAATATATACAAAAATATAGCCTCACACAAAAAGGTAGTATATTAACACACTTTTCAGATAATTGTGGATTTTCTTCTTTGATACTACCCTAAAATTCAACAAGAGGTGATTTCTGAAAGGTTAGTTGCTATATGGACTCTGGAATTCTATCAATGAACTTTTCATACTCTTGTCACATTAAAGTTATTTGACAAACTTGCACTTTAGATAAATCTTTTGTCCAGGAATGATTTTGTAACATCATGCTTTGGTCGTTTGGAAAATATCAATTTACTGATTTATACAGATCTTTCAAATGTTGACACATTTCACTATCAAAATCCCACTCATTAATATTATCACTGAGCTCATCAGCAATCTAAGCATTTAGAAGCAAGCTATCAAGCTCACAGTGGTGGACACAGGTTTTTCAAAATGGAAATGAGGCTGGTGCAACTGAACAACTAACTAAATTTTTAATATTAATTTGTATTAATTTAAGTTTAAATAGTGTAGCTAGTGGATGCTGTATTAGATAGCACAAGCCTAAAACATTCTAACCAACTAGAGAGAGCAATCATAATGCACCAGTAGCCACTTAATCAAAACAAAATTCAGTCTAATTGAATCTATTCACTAGTTTGTTGATCGTGAGGATAAATCAAAGTAAATATGAACTCATGTGTATCTCCTCTTTTGTACAAAAGTATATAATTATCTGAATTCATATAGTACCATCTACATTACTCCAGAAGATCTTGATCATTATTGATAATTTTTCTTTGTGACCCCAATATTTCCCATATTGTGCTCTTCTTATAATTTGCCTCCAGTACCTTGAAGTATCTTTCAAACTTTTCCCTCTTTCCATTGCCAGTAGCTCTCTCTTCAATTTCCTCTGGCATCTTTGTGGTCACAGAGCTCATTTTAGCCTTAGAGTATAAATTACTATTTCTCTATCGTTTCCTTACTGGTGGGTCTTCCTTTTCTCAGAGCTCTTGCATGCAACTCTGGCATTTTTATAGTTTCCAAAATTTTTAAATGTTTTATTAAGAAAGTAAGGTTTCAAAACCACAGAAAATTATTTGATAAAATAAAAAGCTGAGACGCACTCTCAGATTCTATAAAGATATTACCCACCTGTCTCATATCAGTATCAATATTTATAAAATTTCAGGCACCTTTTCTATATATTACCTGGTTGCAGGCCTGTTCATTGGTCAAATCGATGTTAAGCTGAATGTCTGGAATCATTCCCAAACATTAGGTTTTTTTTGTTTGTTTGGTTTTTTTTTGTTGTTGTTGTTTTATAGAGAGAGAAGGGGGAGGGGCAGGAGGAGAGGGAGAGAGAGAATCTTAAGCAGGCTCCATGCCCAGCATGGAGTCCAATGCGGGACTCGATCTCACAACCCTGAGATCATGACCTGAGCCAAAATCAAGAGTAGGATGCTTAACTGGCTGGACCACCCAGACGCCCCAAACATCATATTACATTATACAATAACATTTGTAAGCACTGTGCTAAGCCTGTTGTATGAATTAACTCATTAATTCTTACAAAAAAAAAAAAAAACCTCCAAAAGTAAATGCCATTAGTAGTTCCATTTTACAGGTAAGGAAAAACTGAGCTCTCGAGAGATTAGGCATCTCGCTCAAACTTACTCAGCCGAAGGCAAGTTAACAGCACCAGAATTCAATCCAGTCTGCACCTGACTCCCAAGCCACCTAACCAATAAGGAGGGAGATAGGTGACCAGGGAGACAGACAGACAGAGGGACTGATGGATAGATGGGGACAGAGAGAGGCAGCATATAGCTTTGCGTGCTACTGAGAACACACAAGCTCCAGATCCAGCATGCTGTACTTCTCAGCCAGGCAGCCTAGCAGATGGGCAACCAGCAGGATGCAGATTCAAAAACCAGAGCAAAGGCTGCAGAGCACGGAGTGCTGAGGTTTGTGCAGAGCCTCCACAAGCGGGTAGCAGCCAAATATACTCTCCAGCCTATTGTCCTGAGCACCATGTGGGTGAAACTGCTCTCTGTAGTTGCTGATTTCTGTTTTTCCCCTTTCCTAGTCACTGATCAAGAGACGGCTTCAGATGCCCCGGAGAAAAGCTCCCCATCCTCTCAAGACCCTCAGCAGCCCGCTAGTACCGGTAAGTCAACCCATGAAGACTTAAAAAAAAAATCATGCCTCCTTGAAAAGGGTCACTTTTCCGATTCTCATTTCTAAGATTTTTTTAAAAAAATTTTTAATACTTTTTTTAAAAGAGAGGGGAGATAGAGGTAGGGTAGGGGGCAGAGGGAGAGGGAGAGAATCTCAAGCAGGCTCCACACCCACCATGGAGTGTGACCCGGGGCTCCATCCCAGGACCCTGAGATCATGACCTGAGCCGAAATCAAGAGTTGGACGCTTAACTCACTGAGCCACCCAGGTGCCCCTGAAATTTTAACTTTTAATAAGACTGCGCAGGACCCCTAGCCCTGGCTCCAGCTTCGTGGTGTCCTGGAGGAGCTCCAAACCAGGACGCTCCCTTAGTGGGATGGACTTCAGGGTAACTAATGCCTTGTAGGTTCAGTGCTGTTTTGCTTGATACACACACACACACACACACACACACACACACACACACACAGGATTGTGACATTTGAATTTCCTCTGTGGTAAAGGGCAAGGTTGAATTCATTTACGGGGAGACACGTTTCTTTTGTTTTCTCATCCAGAACAGACCAAACACAAAATAAAGACTTGGTTTCAGCAAAGGGCAAAGAAGCAGGATCTGGAGATTTGGGGCTTTTTGCTGTTGAATAACAAAAATCACCTCTGAAAGCACATCAGTTCCTTGGTTGTCAAGAAACTGAGATAGTTTTTGATGACAGGATTGAGCTCTAAATGCAGAATTTAGGAAGCCCAGGATATAATTCCAGTTTTTTAGACAGTGAACCCACCAGGTGGTTAGCCCTAGGCAATGATCATATATTTAATTTATCTTTGTATTTTACTTGGCATAGCATCTGGCACTAGCAGGTACTCAGAAAATGCAATAAAAATGAATAAATACACGTATGAATACATTTGTTTGTTACGGTGTTTTGAGCAAGATAGCCTCATCCAGAAAGGGCATAAATGCCTACACGGCCCCTTTCTGTTTCAAATAGTGTGTCTGTAAGAATTTCCTTCTGTGGAATAAGTGCTTTCATATCATTATCATGTTCATAGTTCTGAGGATCAGATCATGTTTAAAAATTTTTTTTATCTGGAATAACATTTAAAAGTAAATGTTTGGGGGTTTTAACCACCGATAAAAACAATACGTACTATCCAGTGTTTTGATGGGCAGTGGAAATTGAAAATAAGCTGAAGTAGAGCAGCCATATCCCTTGCTTTAATAATCCAATATTTTTAAACGTGTTTAGAATCTACTTGTCTTTAAATTGGCTCACAGCGCCACTGAACAACCCAATTTTCTGCCCTGCTTTTTCATATATAACATAAGATTTAATATGGTTTCAAAATTTCCTTTCAGCTTTCAATTTCTACGATTTTATTACTGCTAATAATACGCATTTCTAGTAGAAGGGGTGGTTTCGATCCCCGAGGGATCCACACAGTGGCGCTGTGTAATGGACTAAAAAGCAAGAGACCCAGGAGGGGTGGGGGCAGGAATGGGGAGGAAGAGCAACCAAATCAGAAAACAAGATCTTTTAGAGGTCCCTGGATGGCTCACCGGTTGAGTGCCTGCCTTTGGTCCAAGATGTGATCTTGGAGACCTGGGATCAAGTCCCATGTTGGGCCCCACATTGGGCCCCACTTTGGGCTCCCTGTATAGAGCCTGCTTCTGTTTCTGCCTTTCTCTCTGTGTCTCTCATGAATAAGTAAATAAAAAATCTTTTTTAAAAAATGAGATCTTTTATAATTGTGACTTCTCTCACCTAGCACAAGCATCACAGTACGTGCCCCTTCTAAGGGGAGAGGCAAGCATAGGTCTGAATGGCAAAGGATCCTATTTTTCAACATAAAAATCACTGCTTCCCAGGCTGTTGGGTTTTCTTTCCACAGAGCTTGGGGTGCCAGGCTTCAGTGTTCTCGCATCATCATGTACCGTTCTGAAGACCTTCTCACGAGTGGGCGTGACTCAGGAAGGAAGTGCAAGACAGTAGTTTACATTTTGCATGCTGAGCTTCGGCACTGGCTCTGTCACCTACTTACTCCCTGACTTCAGATCATTTATTTACTGAACCTCTCAGAGCCTCTGTTCAGAGCCACAGTGAGGAACCTACCAAATGCTCTGCTTGGGGCTGAGCCCAGAGGTGGTGTTCAGCAAACATCTACCTTTTAAAAATAAGGCAGAATGAGCCTGGCCATTTGTAACTATTTCTGGAAGAAGTCAGCAGTTCAAAAATGGTCTCCTTGTTGGTTTTTTTTTTTTTTTTTTTTTTTTTTTTTTTAAGGAGGACCACCTAATTGGATTTCCCAAGCTGTTTTGCTGCTTTGGGATGGCCGTGTATATATACACACTATTCATATATAGTCATAGGTACATGCCGTGTCTTCATTTCTTTCAATCTAGTTGCAGTAATGGAAGATTCTAGTACAACAGAGAGTGACAAGGAAGAGAAAGAACAAACCACTCAGGACCCTGACTTGGCCACTGGTAAGCATCCTCACAGTATTTAGAACAAACACTTGGCATTTTAACCTCTTAATCAATGAATCCAATGGCTTTTTTTTTTTTCAGTCCCCATTTTTCTTGACCTTTCTATTGGCTAATCACTCCCTGGGTTCCTGACTCAGCTGTGTCCCTGGCTCCCTTGACGTACTCCGCCTGGTTCTGTCTCTGTTTGCTAACCACTCCTCCTCTGTGTCCATCAATGCATCCCTTCCTCCTCTGGCTTCTTATATATGGATCTACTTCTGACTTGACTTCTCCATCCTTGATTCTTCACTGAATTCTTCAAGAGTTTACCTATTCCCAAGGTTGCTCCTATTGCCACCAGGAAGAAAAATTCCATACTTCCAGAACATTCTCCTGAGAATTTATCTCTGTTTCATTCCACCTCCTACATCCCTGTTGCTGAATTTTTCTGCCGTCTTCTCGAATTCAATATCACTAAAAACCAAACAGCACCTTTTCCTCCAAAATCAGCTTGTCCAGATGATTACACAGGCCCTAAACCTTGGTGTCATCCTTCACTCCTGTGTGTATACACACAAACACATATAAAATCAACTCATCTCCAAGGACTTGTTAGTCCTTTTACTGCCATCCCTGGTCCAGACCCCCATCATCTCCTGCACAAAGTCCTGTGACTTCAGTTTCTCTTGTGGTCCTTTTTTTAGGACTATGATCAAAACATCCCTTTGTATTCTGCACACCTGTGTTCAGAAAAACATCTGCGGCTCCCACAGTCTACCAGGCAGAGCAGGAGCCTCCAAGCCTCCATCGAGTGTCCTCCACCCCCTGCCTCTGTAGTCCTGTCTCTAAAGTTCCAACAAGAACACACATTTTTCTCCGACAACATCATCTCATTTTGACTGACCCAGCCCTCGCCGGCCTGAACTGCCCCTGAAGAATAGAAGAGACTCATCTTCCTTCTCCTTACCCTTCTTCCAAGGCCAACATCTCCACTGAGAACTTTCCTGACTAACACAGGGACAACTCTGGCCTCTGAATCCCTGAACACATTATGGTGTTAACACATATGGATCTAGAATTTGGCATAGATATATGAATTCTGTTGATTAATTTATTTGTCTCTATATAGAGAGGGAACTACCCTCTAAATCACAGGGACTGTGTCTTATGCAGCTCCAAGCACAATGTTCTACACATAGTTAATGCTCCTTAGCTGCTTGTTGGTTGAGACAAGGCCAGGACATCTGGGCAAAACTGGAGCCCACAGAATCAGAATGTGAGGTTTAGAAAGATCTTAAAGACTTCACCTAATTTATGTCCAAATGCCTTCATGTAGGACCACATTTAACCTAGCCAACATTTACGAATTTCATTTTATTTGTATAGTTTTTCACACTCCTTAACAACCTCTCTTGCTGATTAACTACACCTTGCTGAAAAACCATTCCTTCCAGCTCCTTTAAGTCCCCTGACTATAATTTAAGTCAATATTCTTGCATGTTTCCTCTAAAAATGAAAAAAAAAATCACAGCTTTGATATCTACGTAACTTAAGAGCATTTTTCAAATCACCTCACAGAATTGCTTTGTTTGCATGCCTGTTGGCTTGTTTTCAGAGAATGAATAACATGAATCTCTTTCCCTTCAGGGTAGGACTCTCTGTTTATCTGAGTTGCCTCTCAGCCAACACAACCTTTTGAAAGTATTGGACAAATTCCTCAGTAACAATAGCAAACCAACTTTGAACTGTCTAAATTCTCTCCATTTTCCCTATAGAAAGAAAACTGTCTAATTCCTTTCATTTTCCCTGTAGAAGCCAATATTCAGTACTTGGGAGTGGTACGGAAGAAAAATGGCATTCTGCTGCTCACACTCGTGTCCTTCCTGATCTTTATACTCTTCATCATCGTCCAGCTCTTCATAATGAAGCTTCGGAAAGCACATGTGGTGTGGAAAAGAGGTGAGAGGCAGTGGACCCAATGGGGCACCAATGGGTGCTGTAACACTTGGCTAGGACAAAGGAAACTCTGCCAACTAAAGCTTTTCTGTTAGATGCTGCACAATATGTTTGATAAGTGTTGTCATTCAAATAGCAATTGCTTGTTCTGTAGTAAATGCAGAATGTGAATCTCCAGGGGCTATAATCAAAGAGGGTACAACCAAGAGGAATTAGGGTAGCTCTGGGAATTGATATTAAATTATAAAAGCTCCTACTCACAAAAGGATACTGAGTAGAAAATTCATTCATTCATTCAAAAAGCATTCAATGAGCACCTCTCATGTGCCAGGCACTGTTCCAGGTCCTGGGGATACCTCTGTCACCAAGAGAGACCAGGTCCCCGCTCTTGAGGAGTTCATATCCTAGGGATATGGCCACCCCTGATGAAAAAGCTATCATTGGAAACTATATAATTTATCTAGCATGGAAGAAATCTATTAAAATGCATAGATTCAACACGTATCACCGCTGGAAGGGGCCTTAGAAAGTTATCCAGGATAACTGTCTCCTTGATTCATTCCATCAGTGTGAACGAGGATTAAATCCCCTCCTTAATTCTGAGTGATCATTTAGACCTATGCTGCCCAGTGCAGTGGCCACAATATGGCTACTGAGCACCTGAAATGTGGCAATCGCTTTTGAGAGGTACTGAAAGGATAAGATAGTCACCCAACATTGAAAGCTCAGTACACATACACACACACACACACACACACACACACACACACACGAATGTCTAATAATAATATATTGGGTTTCCTAGGTAAACATTAATTTCATCTGCTTCTTTTTGCTTTTTGAGCATGGCCACTAGAAAACTTAAAGTTACACATGTGGTTCACATTCTAGTGTTGCTGGACAGTGCTGATTTAGCCATGCAGGACTCCAACACCTCTAGTAGCAGAGAACTCATTATGTCCCAAGGCAAAATACGACCTCTTTATATGGCTCTTGCCCTTTTAAAAATATACCGTCTCCTAGATTGGTGTCAATCTCTCTATATATTCAGTTGGACTAACCTACATCATATATGGACCTAGAGACAGGGTCTGGCTTTTCAGCAGTACCTGCACAATAGGCAAATGCCATAGTATTGTTTCAAGATCTCCCATTAATCCTTTACCCCCATAGTTCTTTAAAGGCTACCAGAATTATTCCATCTCAAAGAACAATACTTGATTCTACTCTGCTGTCATTTGCTTTCCACAACTCTTACACTGCCCAGCATAGTGCTTGGAGGGATCAGAGCAAAGGACAGAAAGAATTCTCCAAATGAATGAGGACATGAGGTATGGGAGGGGGTGGTAGTAAGTCCACTATTGTGTAGACAGAGGGATCATATTATTCAAACATACATCTGCATGCGTAGGTGATGTCTGGCACCAGAAATTAATAACATCATTTTTTTTTCTTGCAGAAAATGAAATCTCAGAACACACTCTAGAAAGTTACAAATCGAGGTCAAATCATGAAGAAACATCATCCCAAGAGAAAAATGGCCAAAGTAAGTCAACTACATGACCTCAAATTTGAAAAATGAGGTTCATTAATTTGTTGCTGTTAAGGAGGAGGGTAAAAATCAAAGTCTAATTTTTAGCACTAGAAAGTCAATCCCCTAAATCATCTTGTAGAACATAAGTGCATCTTCCAAAAATGAAAAGTAGCAAGCATTAAATTCCTAGGGCTGCAGATATGCCCCTTTGGGAAGCCATCCCAGAGTTCTCCCTGTCACACACCAGCACATCCCTGCACTGTGTCCCTCTTGTGCCCTGGGTATCTTGCATACAACTTAACAATCCGGTACTTTCCACATCCTACACCCTCTGGTCATTTTTAATGTGTTGATTTAGCTACCACAGTACTCCTCCAGGTGGTGAGTAGCTGGGTTTATCTATGTGTGTCTCCAGTGTCTATCACACGGCCTATGTAAATGGAGTGTTTGATAAGTTGGTGTTGAATAAATGAACACAAGACTTAACTTATTCAGGCAGAGACGTTTTGGGTCTTTTGGATGACTCCGTTGTAGTTTCTCAAGCAAAAGATGTAAAGAAAGTGAAAGGAAGAGTTTCTAAAAGGAGAGAGAGTTCATTCTTGACAAAAATCTAGTGGAGAGCAGCTCCAGGAAAGCAAGAATCTTCTACCTTTCCACCATTTTTGTTTCCTCCATGCAAATTACCTTATTCTACCTCCCAAGAGTTGCAAGATGTGCAGAAAAGCTCTGCTGCTAGTTTTTATTGCTTTCACTGAGGTTTCTGTAGGAAGCTGGCCTTTCACAACACCTCTGCCTTTTTTTTTTTTTTTTTTTTGCTTTGACCTAGTGGGGTGTGAAGAGGAAAGAATCATTGTACTAGCCAGGCAGGGGAACAAGAGGGCAGACAGTGAGAACTGGGGGTGGGGGAGGGAAGAGTGTGCAAGAAGCAGAGAGTCTGTGGTATTGCATATGTTTTCTAGAACGTCAGTGTTCTTGCCTTTGACTGACAAGTAGGAGAATTTTGTCAGTATGATGTATTAGTTGGACAGTTTCCTATGCCAATTTTTTTAAGCAAGAGGAACAAAAAGTGGGCGTAGAATGATAACTTTTAGCAGGGAGAGAAAAGACCTTGGCCCTGCTGCTGAACAAGCAGAAAGCCTTAACATCTCAACTTTAAGAAAGCTGAAAATTCCTACCTTTGGGGCACTTCAGTGACTCAGTGTTTTGAGTGTCTGCCTTTGGCTCAGGTCATAATCCTGGGGTCCTGGGATTGAGTCCCAAATTGGGTTCCCCGCAGGGAGCCTACTTCTCCCTCTGCAAGTGTCTCTGCCTCTGTGTGCCTCTCTTGAGGAAGGAAAGGAAAGGAAAGGAAAAAGGAAAAAGGAAAAAGGAAAAGAAAGGAAAGGAAAGGAAATGAATGACTACCTTCACTCAAGGCTCTCTTCCCAGAAAGGCCTATCTGTAGGGGCTGGGCCAGAGATTGTGGGAGATGGTTCTTCCTCCTGGGCTCTAACCTGCACTTCCATCTTCCTTCCCTTGGCACCCTCAAACCCAGGATTTCAACTTCACTATTTTTGCTCACTTAAAGGGCATTCTCTGGAGCTGTCTCCACCCTCTATGTATAGAATTACACGGGCTTTGAGTGGCCAGCCTCAACCCTATGTTTACCATTTACTGTTACTTTTAGTATGAAATATGCTGAATTACACTGTGGGGGTTTTTTTGTATTTTCAATGGCAGAAATGTCTATATATATTATTTCAGGTTTATTAGTATATTTATGTAAGAAGACTTTTTAAAAAAAAAATGTCAGGCTATAACAATGCATTCCGACCACTGATGAGATGCATCAATTTCAGATTTGATTTTTTAAGACATTAACATACGAACTTAAAAATACCATGTGTAATCAAACTGTCTCAAATAAATGTGTGCAGGATTGTTCAAAATAGTCATCTTTGACATGTTTTTCTTTCAGCTTTCCACTCTAAGAGCTACATTAACTACATCACACAGTTGTACTCAGAAGCAAAAACGAAGAGGAAGGAAAACGCACAAAATCCAAAATTAGAAGGAGAGCCCACTCATATACCAGAGAGCATTGTGTAGTGCTTCCTGCAACAGAAAACTGGATTTCGGGGCAGCCACATCATCACAGTGGAGCAGCCTATGGGAAGGAGCATCATTACTGTCACATGAAAAATATACTTTGTGTGCAATGCAAGATGGTGCCTTGCCAGGGCAATCTGCCCTGGATTCAGAGCTGTTAAATGAGGACCAAACTGTGGACACAAAGCTTCATAGTTAAAAAAAAAAAAAAAAAAAAAAAAAAGAAAAGAAAAGAAAGAGAGAGAGAGAGAAGAGAAAGAATCAATTATGCCTGACACTACTGACGAGCAGGAGGATTCTCCTAAGCCTTGGAGATCTGGGTTGATCTGGGCAGCGAACATCTTACCCTAAACGGAAAAGGAGGTTTTAGATGCTAGGCTCTTAACAGAACTATTTAAAAGAAATTTTTCTAAAATCTTCCCTTCTGGTCTCCAAATAAAATCTTCAGGATGAAAAGAACCTAGAGGAGGTTTGTATTCCTAGGAGCTTACTTTCAAGATGGACTTTAGGAAGATGTGAGCAGTATATACAGCGTCTGGAGAAGGGGTACATAACAATGAGTGGGCACTGAATCATGAGCATGAATGCCCCAAGATTCATGCCCTATGACTCAAGCATCAGTTCCAGGTAGGCCCAGAGATTCCATCTTCTAAGGGTTTCTTGCTAAGTCATAAGACCTGATCTAACAAACAAAGTTTTCTCCAGGACACTTCATTACAAAAACATACACGAATGAAAACAATGAGCCTAACTTACTATGACCTGATGAGTGCTTTTTAAAAATTATTTTAAAAAGAGCTGAATATATGTTTTTCTAGTCACAAGTAGTCCAAGTTTTACTTGTGAAAGTGGCATGCCTTTTTTCCCCCATCAGTTTATTTATCTATGACATTTCTCAGTTTGGTTCTGAATAATTCTAAAATAATATCCCCCCACTCTATCATACACATTCATATTATGAGTTTAATTTGTTACAGGGCCAGATCCAGCTGTGATTTTTTTTTCTCTTTATAAGAAAAAAATTAAGTAATTCCTTCATCCAACGTGGGCCTTGAACTCATGACCTCAAGATCAAGAGTTAGATGCTCCACCAACTAAGCCAGCCAGGTGCCCTGAAAAAAAATTTTTTAATAATCATAAAATTATTGAAAGGCATCAGAACAGAGCACTTTTTCCTCTGAACCATTTGAGAGTAAGTTTTCATGCTGTCTGGCACCCCTCAAATACTTGACCTATGAGCAAGGACACTTTCCCCTGGAACCACAAGGTGACTACTGAAATCAGGAAACAGACATTGGTGTATTCCTGCTACCAGTCTTCAGACACAGTTTCTCCAATCGGCCCAGTTGTCCCAGAGGATCTAGTTGATCACAGATTTAATTTTAGTCTCAGTCTGTTTGGAACAGTTCCTGAATTTTTCCTGCATATTCATGACATTTTGGATACTTTTGAAGATTGCAGACTAATTATTTTGTAAATCGCCTCTCAATTTGCATCTGATTGGTTTCTTCGTGATAAGATTTGGGTTGTGAAAAACTGGGACAGGACTGTCACAGAAGTGATGTTTGGGTTACCTCACTGTGTTTTATTTACCCCTTTACTGATGTCACTTTAATCACTTAAGGGGCTGTCTGCCGGGACTTCCCCCTGCAAAGTTGCAAAGTTCTTCTTTTCTCCTCTGTAAGCTAATGTCTTGTGCAGAGATGTTTTAAAAATGTATAGATATCCTGTTCCTCATCAAACTTCCAAGTTACTCATTTATTTATATCTGTATGGATTCATGGTTTCCTGTTATTCAATGAGACACAATCTGTTACTCTCCTAGCTCACGCACTGGGTTATAATCTGTTACCATCAAATTAATCTCTTGCTAACTTGGGTGATCAAATTGTGGAAACAGGTTTTTGTGTCCTTATTCTCAACCTTGGAGCATTTTCTTCCTTTCTGGTACAATATATTCCAGGCTCAACTTTAACTTCTTCTGCCCCAGCCCTGTCATGAGCCATTTCTCCAAGGATCCCTGGTTCCTTTTCATGGAAAATGATATTTAGAAGCCAAACTCCAGGGTCTGTGTATACACATTGTTTTTGGGGTATCATTTTCAAGTCATCTGAGTACACAGAGCTACGGAATATATGAAAAAGTGTGCATATTGCTGACCCTTGAACAACATAGGTTTGAACTGTCGAGGTCCACTCATATATAACTTTTGTTCTGAAGAGTCAACAGCAAAAGCCACAGGATATTTATTTACAACTGCCCGCCCCATTCTCTCAGGCCAAATTGAAGGTAACTGGTGTAAAGGTCATACCTGCTGCCCTGTGAGTACCGTGGGAGACCCCTGGAGACCATCAGCAGCCTCCAGAAACCCTAGATCCCTCCCCCGCCCAAGTTCTCTATGATCAGGGTTCCCTGCTGGTGCTAGGGTGGCTGCAGGCCTTGGGCCCCTCCCAGGCAGGGCACAACCCCCTGCCCCCAGCAGCACCCTGGCCCCATAGCCATCAGGAGGCTGGAGGGCTCAGATGTGGTCACAGCTGCCCACCGCCACCGGCAGTGGTGCACCTGCAGGCAGGTGGGGCGGCTGTACTGCATTGCCAGGTCGCTATCACTGCCTGCAGCACCAAGGCCATCAGGCTGTGAAACATCACCATCCAGGGGCCAGACCTCTCACTGCCACCACCTCTGTCCTGGCCCACCCATCCTGCATTTTTTTTTCAATAAATATATGTACAGTATTACCAATGTATTTTCTCTTCTTTCTTTTTCTCTAGCTTCCTTTATCATAAGACTACCGTACATAATACGTAGAACGTACATAATACATGTTGATTGACTGTGTTATCAGTAAGGCATCCCGGGCCACAGCAGGCTATTAATAATTCAGTCTGGGGGGAGTCCCAGTCATACAGCAATTTTTCATTGGGAGGGTTGTTGCCCCAAACCCCGCGTATTCAAGGGTCAACTATATATATGGATATATGTGTCTATGTGTGTGTTCGTATTTAAATCTATTTAAAACCATGAGTATATTCTAGTTTTCCCCCTAATTGTATTTGTAGCTCCCTTTTCTGAGAAACCCAGTTTCATTATCCATAATGTACTTATTTGCCCAGTCCCCTGTAGACATGTCATCTCCCATCTCTGCTACCTTCCTATTCTCCTGGACCATATCTCCCCCATTCCTGTGCAAATGCAGACTCCACCTGCTGTGCCCCCACCCCACCAGGTGGATGCTGTCCTCACCCAGCTCGGGCTCTTACACCGCACACCAGATCCCCCTGCTCCACAGATGTCCTGGCCACACACCGCTGCGTGGCAACCCCCCACCCACCCACTCAGGTTCAGGCACCCATGCAGGGCAGCCTTCCTAGGAGCACCACCTGCTCATCAGGCTCGGAGCCCCCCTCTCAGCCTCCACAGCTTCCCCACCAGCCCCAACGCAGACCCCCACTTCACTATACCCCACCCCCTGGCTTTAGGACTGGACTGTTCAAGGAGAGAGGAAAGTAAGGAATTCTGAGAAAAGGAATTAGTCAGAGGTCCTGATTTTTTTTAAAGATATTTTTTAATTTATTGATGAGAGACACACAGAGAGGCAGACACAGGCAGAGGGGGAAGCAGGATCCCCATGGGGACCCCAGTGCAGGACTTGATCCCTGGACCCCAGGATCACGACCTGAGCCACCCAGGTGCCCTGGAGGTCCTGATCTCTAAGAGACTTTTAACATGACATCGAAATGAGGCATGCCATGTGCAGTTTTGTAGCAGCTCGGAAGCAGAAATCATTCACTGAGCCATTTGTGTTCTGAAAACAAGCCAGAGAGATGAACAGTTTCTCTTCAGAGATGGTGCTCGTCCCAGCTGGTTAAACTTTGCTTGCACCATGCTACTTTAAGCCCATGTTCAAAGTTGATCCTCTCCAAAGATGCTCACTGGGAACATTTCCATTGCTTTGGTGCCTTTTACACAAGAAGCCAAACTAAGATGCCAATGTTACAGCACCATGCAGAGGGATGCAGACTTAGCCAATCGTCAGGATCACCTGAGAGGATTTCATAAAACTGGGATTCCCAGGTTTGTCCTCAAAGATTGGTCTCGGGGAACCTGGGTGGCTCAGATTGGCAAGCATCTGCCTTTGGCTCAGGTCATGATCCTGGGGTCCTGGGATAGAGCTGAGCAGGGAGTCTGCTTCACCCTCTGCCCCTCCGCCCTGCTCATGCACTCTCGCTCTCTCTCAAATAGAATCTTAAAAAAAAAAAAAATTCATCTCAGTAGACCTAAAGATGGGGCTTTGGGGTCTCTTTTTAAGCTCCCTAAGTGATTCCAATAGGTGAGGGTGTCCTCTTACAGCATAAACCAATTTTTTTCAAAACACAGCTGAAGCAGATATACTATCATCAAAACTGAATTGGGAATCGTATTTCAGGGCAGCCCGGGGGGCTCAGCAGTTTAGCGCCGCCTTCGGCCCAGGGCCTGATCCTGGTAGACCCAGGATCAAGTCCCACATCGGGCTCCCTGCATGGAGCCTGCTTCTCCCTCTGCCTGGGTCTCTGCCTCTCTCTCTCTCTCTGTCTCCCATGAATAAATAAATAAAATCTTTTTAAAAAAAAAAAGGAATCGTATTTCAAAATATTATATTCTGGAGGCAAAAGGAGCTTATGAGTCATCAAGTCCTACCCAAGGTACAACTACACCCCAACACCAAGAGCAAACACATTCTGTGGGCAAAGAGCATCCAGTCTGTACAGAGCCTAGCTCAAGGTAAGTTTCTCAATTTATATTTGGCAAAGAGTCGAGGGAAGACAGGAAAATGAAAGATTTCTGGGCTCAAATAAGGTTGAAAAATGCTGACTGCTACATCTCCCTAGAGGTGATGCACAATAGTATAGCAAAGGCTCTGACAGGTCTTCTTATAAAAGTATCTCTTGGTTTATTTAACCCAGCAAAGCTCAAACTTAACCATCTCGAGCAATTCATGATGCCTGCCCACCCAGTGACCA